ATGGGGAAAAAATCCATAAATATGTTGCTTCTGCGTATAAGTCGCAGGGCATGCAAATTATGCAAATAACCGCGACTTATAGGCCGAAAAATACGGTAAGCTTTTACTGCTTTTGTAAGCAAGTCAGTTTGACCTGATATTTTGAAAACGTATTTCAAAGAAAGGAAGATATAAGATTTCTTGTTTCATAAAATGGATATTAACATACAAAACAAATAGCCTAAAAATCAACTCTAAAGATAGGCTATTATACAGATGAACAAAAATATTTTTAGAGCAAAATTATTTGGAAAAATATAGAAGGATGCTAATTTAATTGAACGCGCTGCTCGCTTCGGCTTTTGTAGCTTCAGATGCTGCTACTTCCTTCACCGCAGATGACAGCAGGGTGTGGACCTGAACGTGGCTTGTAGAGTGAGTTCTCCCATTTTTAGCTTTTGTTTAATACTTTCCAGCTCCATTATGTTGCATGTTGTGGGTCAACTGCAAATCCTCAGATGTGTGATAAAAGAAGGGCAGGCGGGGCCACATGCACAATTGTTGCGCAATGCACCAGCGCAACTCTCTCTTTTCACAGTCTGATTAACGTCTGTGCTGTAATTTATTTCTTTCTCATCCTCAACATATAGATTTACTGCCTCCTCCTCAAGAAGTAGATTAACACAATTTTATATTGTGTATTTTTAGTTTCTTTGTGCTGTATGATTCGTAAAGCCGCAGGACTGAAGTCCGAGCCCAAACCGGCCCGCCCATCAAGCACATAATTTTGGCCTGACCCGGCCCGAATTTCGGGTCAGGTCGGGCTTGGGCCAGAAATCGCAACTCTAAACCACAGACCCCTGAGCTCCCACACAGCCCTCTGTGTGGAGCAGAGCTGCCAGATAGGGTGCCTGGGGGAGAAGATGGTGGGGGTTAAGGGCCTTGCTCAAGGGCCCAGAATGGGGCAAATGAGAGTGGAGGCAGGTTGTGGGTGTTTCACCTTTACCATGCACATTTTGACGTTGTCTGGGGAGTCGAACTGGCAACCTCCTGATCACAGGACCACCTTCTCTAACCTCTGCTCCACCACTCCTCAAATTTCTTCTACTCTGACATCAAATTTGTTTAAAAAAAACTGTTGAGTAAAATTCCTAAAATGTTCAAACTTAAAGCATCAAAATGTGATTTTCTGAACAGAACTTTGTGGGTTTTGCAAAAAAAAACAAACAAAAAAAACATTTTAGTGATCTCCAAGTTTTAGATGATTTTTACAAAAATGTCTAAGTTTGTGGATACTAGTGTGTAAAGACTTTTTGTTATAATGTTTTGATATGTTTGAAACTTGATGTTTTCATTGAAGCTTTACCTCCCAACTTACAGAACCTGAAGAACCTGAAGGCTCGGTGCCAGATACCACAGCAGAACTTCACAGGTCTGTTCATGACTCTACAAGTCACTGTTTCAATGAAAACATTGTCACCTTTAGCGGCAGGTCTCGGCAATGCAAATGTTTGTGTATGTTGCTAAACGGTAGTGCTGTCATTTCTAACCCGAACCCGGAGCCCAGCCCCACCTGACCCAGATTCGGACCGGGTCGGGCCATAATAATATGCTTGATGTGCGGGCCGGGTCTGTGTCGGGCTTTTTATTGCGTCAGGGACGCGTGCGGCTGACGATCCAATTATATGCCAACATGGCTTGGCATCCAATCACCAGCCGCACGCGGCTATTATGTGCTTGATGGGCAGGCCGGGTTGGGCTCGGACTTCTGTGCTGCGGCTTTATGAATCATACAGCACAAAGAAACTAAAAGTGCACAATATAAAATTGTGTTAATCTACTTGTTGAGGAGGAGGCAGTAAATTCATATGTTGAGAATGAGAAAGAAATAAAATACAGCACAGAAGTTAATCAGCCCAAATGGACGTTCATTCAGTCGCTGCACTCAGCGGACGCACGCGGCCGACGACCCAAACAGGTGAGATCACAAAATATCTGACATGTCAGAGCAGGATGCAGGCAGAAGCAGGGGAAGCATTTAATGCGCTTTGAGAGCTCCTCAGCTCCGATCTTCTGCCCCCTTTACTCAGCCGCGCGTGTCCGCCAACCGTTAATAATAGTCGGTGGTATAAGCAGTCAAAGCTTAATTAAAAATGTCAGGGGAGTTTTCGGGTTTGGACCTGTAATTACTGTTAAATCGTTGGATTGGGTGGAGTTCGGAGATGATGCTGCGGGCTGGGGCAGGTCAGATTTTTTTGAACCTGTACTAAACGGACGTGTCCATAGAAACTAATTAGGATACGCTGATCTATTAGTCCAGCAGTCCTCAAAGTTTTGTGATGATGATTTCCAGAAACAAAATCCAGTTTAAAACCAATTGCTAATAATATTTTTTGGGTCATAATTGTTACAAGAGGTACAATGACTAGTTATTAATAAAGGAAGTCTAAAGGTTGTTATTGCCATTAGGTCTTGTGTAAATGGCCTTATGGCAATGTTTACACACTTCACCCACAGATATCTGGGGTCACAAGTCCCCGCTACTGAAATCCTATGGGTCAAAAGCTGAAAAGTATGAGAAACAATGTATTGATAACAGACAGGTTGTTCTTCAACTTGACCATAAAATTTATCAAGATCAGAAAGATCACAGCTGCCATTTGTATGAGATGAGACTGTAAACAAGGTAAGTTATATTACAAGAGTGTAACAATAAATATTTTGCCATTGTATGGAAACATACAGTGATGACAATGTGATGACATTATTATTATTATTATTATTATTATTATTATTAATATAAATGTAAATTAGGGATGCACCGATCAAATTTTTTTAAAATTTCCGATCCGATCCAGATACCTGCAATCGGCTAATACCGATACTATTCCGATATCATAATCATCATAGATTTTATGAGGCTGTAATAATCTCCTCTCAAGTACAATTTGTACAAATATATGCATGCATGTCCAAAAAGGCAACTTGAGGTAAGCTTTATTAATGTTGGATAAGTTTTAAAGTTAGAATTAAATCCTGCTAACACAAAGCAGGTTTTTTTTTTATTACTATCTTTAAAGTGGATATTAAAGTGATCAAATGGCTTCAAACATCTAAGTTTATGGCATAAACCAACACAGACATGTTCCTGTTTTTACTATCTTACATCGCTTTTTAATGTAGCTCTTTTTGTTTCTTTTTTATACATATATAATTTTCTTTTATTTTTCAGTTCATATTATTTTTTATGATTGTCTATTCAATTCATTTTATTTATATAGCACCAAGTCACAACATAAGTCATTTCAGGGCACTGTACAGAAACATTCATTTATAAAAATAATAATTTAAGACCATTTATCTGAGCAGACTTCTTTGAATTGAACTCCATCACACAACTCTCATCTTGAGCTGATAAATATCTCCTGGAGGGTAAACTATATCTTGGATGCAAATATTCAATCAAGCTTCGAAGCAGACAGTCTGATTTCAGTCAGCTGCGCTCAGTCTGCCCCTCTGAGACGGGCAGACTGAGCGCAGCTGACTGAAATCAGACTGCCTGCTCCGGACTGAACGAAAGGAACACACTGCTGAAGCCACGGAGCTCAAACGTCCAACGTAAAACTAACTTTACTGCAGTGCCTGGCTAAACAATCCTCGTGCGCTTTAATGTGGTGCTTTTTCAAATGTTTATTAAGTTCAGTGTATTGTAGGTCGCAACGGAGCTTCCTCCTCTCGGTACAGCGGCTCTGCAGACATTGCACGTTGCTGTCTTGCGGTGTTTGGTGTAAAATACTTCCACACAGCGGACATGTTCCAATGAAAAGATGGTTAGCCGTTAGCAACAGTGCTGCTCAGTGCTCAGCCCTCAAAACAGTATTTACTCACATTGTAGCTGGCTGCAAACGATGAAATGGATGACCTGAATGTGAGGCGGGTCTTATTACTCTGGGCTTCATGAGACACGCCTCCGTTCAGGAAATCCATTCCATAATTTGAAGCCAACCTGCAGAGCACAGACATGCATCATGGATCGGAAAGATTGGCAGGTTGGATCGGAAAAATCCGGTACGTAAATGATGCTGGTATCGGAAGCCGATACCGGATCAGATCGGCCTCATCCCTAATGTAAATCACAGTTAAATTAGGGTTTGGTACAAAACAACAAATTAAACATGTCAGATTGATAGTTATTAACATTTTTGTTTATCTCCCTGAAGCAGAGACAAAAAGACACCATTGCTAGCAAGGAGGCTTAAGGGTCATGTTCAAAAACATATCAAAAGGTGGAATCAACCTTCTTCTACAAAACCCAATAGAAGTTTAGGACTTGTGTAATAATTTGTTGTCAAACTGTCAGTTTTAAAGCTAGGGTCACCATTTCAGGGCAGCTGTGGCTGAGTGGTTAGAACAGTCGTCTTCCAATGGGACAGTTGGGTTTGATTCCACCACAATCACATGTTGAAGTGTCCCTGGGTAAGACACTGAACCCCACATTGCCTCTGATATGTGTCCCATCATGTATGAATGTGATGTAAAGCTCTAATTAGTCTCTACAGATTCAGATGATCTTTGCAGAGATGTAGTAGAGTGCTGTATGAATGTGTGTGTTGGTGGTAAATGAGACACAGATTGTAGTGTAAAGCTCTTTGAGTATCTTGACTAGATAGAAAGGTGCTATATAAGTACAGTCCATTTACCACTGCAACCACACAGGCACACTGAGTAAAATAAGACATTGACTGACATTTTACTGAAATCATAAAGAAAACTGACAGTGTAAGCCACGAGAAGTACAAAAAGGCAAATTGATGAGACCTTCACTTTGACTTAAACACAAAAGCTTCCTGTCATCCTAGTTTCCTCTACTCGGACAATAGATCCTCATAAAAGGAATCATCTGCGTGTGTCTGTGTTCTGCTACAACTCTGAACGTGAGAGATATCTTAACAGGAAATATAAGCACAAAGTCTGTTGGTGTGTCACGTCAGGATGAGACTGTGAGATGGAGAGGGTCTTACTTTTCCCTCCACTCCCACGCCACAGTCAGCTTCCTGGATCATGCTGACATCGTTTCCTCCATCCCCTAAGAGAAAACAAAAGCCACAGAGGTGTCAGAATTCACATCAGTGATTTATCAATATGAACTTTTTGGACATCAATGTGTTAAATGTCTGGACTAAAAGATAAACTATTCACAGAAAACTAAATGGAAGAGCAGTTTAGAATTAGCAAGAAACAAAAAATATTTCATAAAATTTCATAAAATTGCATAGAATATGTTCAGCATCTTTGAATGAACCAGATTATACGTAAGCTGCATACAGGAGGTGCAGCTGAGATGTGGCAGTTTGTGGCTGAGACAGACAGACGTAAGTTGTTGTTGATCAAGATGAGGGGAATAAATAACAATTGTGAAACTGTTCAGATAAAAAAAACAAATCAAGAAATCAATCTACAGAGGTACGATTAATATCTCCCTGTGATATGCTGGCAACGTTTGCTTTACTCACCCACAGCGCAGGTGAGCTTGCCTGTGCGCTCTTGCAGCAGCCGGACTATCTGAGCCTTCTGTGTGGGGGTGCAGCGGCAGCAAACCACAGCAGGACACTGACATGCAAGCTCCATGAACTCATATTCATAATACTTCAGACAAACCTGGGAGAAAGCCAGCAGAGCAGACAGGTGAGCAACGTTACGCACCACATTTAACTGCTTTTAGAAGCCGGGTCTCGAAGGCTTTAACCAACTTACAGTTGAACGCCAGCTGTGGTTTAAAAAGTGACTCTAACCACAGACACCACCACCAGAGACACTACAGTGGATGTGATGTTACTGTGCATAAGGCTAAAAACATATCTACCTTTCTGAAACGAGGACAAGTCAGTGGTATGAAGATTAGACACACACACACACGAGCGCACTTACTTCAAGTGAGTCCCCCGATATCACCAAAGCGCAGTCATGCTTTCTCCTGAAAGCGTTAAGCTCCAGGTGGGCTTCCCCTCGTGTTGTCACCTATTGCAACAACAACCACATATAAAAAGTAATGCATTTGCAAACACACACACACACACGCACACACACACACAAAGGGGAAACTTATGGTAAATGGACAGTAATTATATAGCTCCTTTCTATCTTATGAAGATATTCAAAGCTCTTTACAACAATCTGTGCCCTCATTTACCCATTCATACAGCACTTTACTAGATCTCTACAAAGAATTATCAGAGCTTTATCACATTCATACACTGAAGGGACACACATCAGAGGCAATGAGGGGTTCAGTGTCTTGCCCAGGGACACTTCGGCATGTGACTGCTGGTGGAATCGAACCCCCAACTCTTGCATTGGAGGATGACTGCTCTAACCACTCAGCCACAGCCGCCCCTTATCAGTGATAACAATCTGAGAGCCATTGCCTGCTTGTTGCTCTGACTGTTATCAGACAAACAGCAGCTTGTTATAGTCCAGCTAAATGGTTGACCAACACTAGAGAAACCAAATACTTGATTTAAAACTACTTCTACAAAAACTGATAGATGCAACATAAAAACTTAACAAATACAACTCAATATGTTTGTTGTCAAGAGGAAAGCCACTAAGCACACCATATTAGAATTACTGCCTCATGCTTGTCATCTCTAATGATCATTAATTTTGTTGTTTAGATCCATGTTATACTCTGAGAACACTTCAACTACGAGACAAGATGGGAGAGGCAAAGTATGGAAGTACTTTGACTTCTATGTAGTTAAAGCAAAAAAAAAAAAAGTTGAGAGCCACAAGATGTGCAAATGGTGTAGACACGTCCACATGGAGGAGGAAGAAAATGGACTGCATTTAAGTAACATCTTCCTAGTCAGTTGGGCTCCTCAAAGCACTTTACAAGATCTGTGCCGTTATTTTTCCATCTAGACACATCCATACTACTACATCTATGAATAAACTATTCTTTAGAGACTAATCAGTGCTTTACACAGGCATACACTGAGGGAGCATGTCAGAGGCAATAAAGGGTTCTGTCTCTGGCCCAGGGACACCTCAACACGTGGCTTCATACTTCCAGGAATTTAACTTCTAACTCCTTCGTTGGAGGACGGCTACTCTAACAACTGAGTCACAGCTGCAAAGCAGGAGGACTATCAAGCCAACAATATGAAAGTCTCCATCTAACTGGAAAAAGCAAAAGCGATTTAGTTCCACATCCAGTGTAATACAATGTCCATGTCCATTTTTATAGCAAAGGATTTGCGTTCTCATTCAGTGGTTATGAACCAGGGATTGTGCACTTTGTTTTGAATTTTGGAGCCATGATAAAACATGATCACAGCCATTCCCACACTCTACAATGGGACCAAAAACAAAGTGGTGGAAACACTGATGAAAGCAGGTCAGCTGGCTCTAACATGTGACGCATGAACATCTATTACAACAGATTCTTATGTCGCTGTACTGAGCATTTTGTTTCCTTTCGTTCAGTTTCCACAATCTTGTTTGAATGAAAACTGTTTTATACTGCAGGGTGGGGCAAAATATTTTGTTTCTTTTAGGTCTAAGACAGGGGTGCCCAATATGTCGATCGCCATCTACCGGTGGATCGCAAAAGCAATTTGAGTAGATCGCATGGCAAAATAGATGTCAGACTTTTTTTTTATAAACCAGCCTATCAATCCATCCTTACTATGCATTTTGTCACTTGATCAACATACAGGTTAGCCAATCTGAGACCAGACCTTTTTTGACACATAGGTCAACACGCATGTACATACAACCGAGCTAAAAACTACAAAGTCGCCTAATAATAGCCTCCAGTTTATTTTTTATAATCTAAACTCAAGGAAGTGTGTAAAATGAGTTGGGGAGCTGGACCAAGTAAGAAGGAAAAGACCTACCATTTCCATACGGAATGAGAGGAGGACATTTTTTTTCACAATGTCATATTCGAAGTGTGTTTGCCTCATCTGCCAGTCTACCATTGCTATTCCGAAGAAGGGAAATGTGGAGCCGCACTTTCAGACTACCATATTCATAAAAACTATGACAATGACTTCCTTCCGAAAAGCGAGCTGAGAAGGAAAGAGTTGAAGGAACTAAAATCCCAGTTATCCAGACAGCAGTCATTTTTCCTACAGTTGACCACAGCAGCAAAGCATCATTCTGGGTGAGTCATTTAATAATTGTAAAGCACAAGAAGTCCTTACAAGACGTAGAGATGGTAAAAGAGGCATTTGGTGAAGCAGCTGACTTTAAAAACAAACCAGAAATATTATCTTTCATCTAAGCTCTCAGGTATCAACAAATATGGTTACGGTTCAAAGCCAGCCCTACAGTCAGGTGTGAAGAACAGAAGTTTTTGCTGTGTTTTGCTGATTATTTTGTACGTGGACAGTAAAAATAAATTGTCACTTTTTTTAACAAACTTTTGGGTTTTGTCACTTATGTTGGGTCCACAGAGAGCTGGGACTTATTCATTCATTCAAGCTTTATTTATCCAGGTTAGTGTCATTGAGTCAAGAGGACTCATTTACAAGAGAGACCTGTTTTAGACAGACAACATATAAAGTATAGACAAGAATAAACTACAGTAAAATGCAATAAAAATAAAAATAGTGCTATAAAACAATAAATCAAGGTGCCATATAAAATATGTTGTTGTTGTTTTTGTTTTGTTTTTCCTTTCAGCTGCTCCCTTCTTCAGGGGTCGCCAAAGCAAACTGACTCTCACAAAGACTTGACGATTATTTTTACACCGGATGTTCTTCCTGACACAACCACAGACCACCGAGCTACCACAGCCCTCTGCGTGGAGCAGAGAGCTGCTATTTAGGGTGCCCGGGGAAGCAGATGGTGGAGGTTAAGAACCTTGCTCAAGGGCCCAGAGTGGGGCAGATAAGGGTGGAAGCAGGTGTGGGTGCTTCACCTTTCCCACCCACATTTTGATGTTGTCGGTACCGAGAGTTGAACCGGCGATCTTCTGATCACAGGCCCACCTTCTCTAACCTCTGCCCCACCACTCCCTGAAGCATGGGGAAATACTAAAAACAAGAACGTAAAACAAATAAAGCATACTTAATATGTTTATAAATAAGTATACGTTTTGTATTTTTATAGTAGGTAGATCACTTGGACAGTCATTTTAAAATTAGCTCGCATGCTGAAAAAGTGTGGGCGCTCCTGGTCTAAGAGATCATATGCTCAAGATTTGTTTGGAGTGTGATTATAAATTTTATAAACGAATCACAGCACACAGAACTGTTATCCAAAAGAATAAAATGTTATAATGAGGCAGCTAAAGATTCCCACCCGCTACCAAATTAGAATTAAATATTTTTTGTTTTATATTTTGTGTGTGCCTTTAATGTTGAACCAAGTGACCCAGCTATTCTCAGGAGAGGCCTTCGATGTAAGTAAAGACATGAACTTTACTTAAACTAAGGATAAAAACGTCACTGTCTCAGTAATGACACTCATCCATGAACCAGGGCCCAGAAGGTTGATTATTTTTACTGGCTTGTTCTAACATCATCTAAAAAAGTTAAGTCTGGTCCTCTGGACATTCAAAAAAATAAAACTAAACACACACACACAAAAAAAATAAAATGTAGAAACGTTACGACTTTCATCTGAAAGACTTCTTCAGTCCTGTTCTAACATCACTTTAATGCAGAATTACTTTAACTCAACACAGTAAGACATACAGTTGAACTACAATGTATTAATTACAATCACATGTTTGTTGACTGATGGCTGGCAGTTCTTTAGTAAAAGATTTATAACCCTGCAGTCCAGTGTTGTGTGTTACTTGACTAAACAAGAATATTCTCACCTGAAAAACAAAACAGTATTAGTTTATTATTTTATTAAAAATGAAAATAAATTATATCTCATGTATTCTATGGAGAATCAGTATTTTTTTAACAAAGGTTTAAGAAATTGAAAATGTTAACTTAGCCGTTTAGCATTATATTTTTGAAATGGGACTAAAATGTACTATGAAAATTTACAGTTTACCCATTTGAAAGTATACCAGGATAAAAGAGCATATAAAAGTCAGAAACATTGTCAAATAATTATTTAATTGTGGGTTAATAAATGTTTACGCAGCGATTTCTTAAATCTTCAGTACCAGTGAACACTAATTTGGAGAGGGAAAATTAGAAAAATGAAACAATACTGCTCAATAAATTCCAAAAACAGGTTTAAATAGTAACTTCAAAAAATTCCCCTAAAAAGCAGCACTGACGAGGCATGGTGTGAATCTGTCAACAAGAGCCGTGGCCTGGTATGAACATCCTTCAACTGCTGACTATTCATACGTCAGTCCAGATCAGGCCGTTGGTGGTCACCAGGAAACTAATCCAGATGTGTGTGTTGCAGGCTCAGTCAGCACGCCCCCAACCAGAGGGACAGAGGTTTATAAGCTGTGCCAACCATTGTTTTTCTCTTCCAGCTACCACAGTTGTACGCAAGCTGTAACCTTCCTATATAACCAGTGGTTCTTCTTTCCTGGCATGGTTTCAGAGGGGAGACAGAAGGGGACTATCAAAGCAGCTTGAGAGTCTGAAATCTGCTAAACAAATCAGGAAGGGAGCCTTTGCATATTTCCTCTGGGAGAGGTCCAGCTGGTTTCTTCCTTCTGTTTGAGCGAAGGGCTGTTTGTTCTCTCTGACAGTGGCTTGGATGCTTTCACTAGTGGGAGGTGAATTATTTAGCGATGCTGGCTGTTCTGTGTCTGTCATGCTGTATGGTCACTGGTTAAAGGGTCCTGATCACAGAGGCCAGTTGCCAATGGGCTGACAGAGTCAGCTGAACAACACTGGGATGAGCACAGTGGGAAAATAAATATTACCCACATCACATGCACATAGAGCTAAAGTTTCTTATTGTTCACTTACTGGTCTGAAGATATGGACGTCCTGGCTGCGAGTGATCAGATGGGCATTCTTAGCAGTGCATGTGGCAGTCTCAAGCTTGTCTCCTGTCAGCATCCAGACCTAGTCAGAAACCAGAAACATGAGATGTAGCTGAGAAAATGATTTGATTTATAAGAAAAACTCATTAATCAAACCCCCAGAATTCCTTGAGGGAACACATATTGCTGCACTCTTTCAAGATCATCTCTTGTTGAGAAGTGATGGAGCTATAGCAACTTTGGTTAAACCCAACAAATGGCAGGCACATACATGTGATGTAAGATCTCAAGAGATGTGTTAGCACTCAGAGAATGTGTGGAGGATGACTCTCAGCTGCTACCACACCAAACTTTAGCTCAATATTTGTGTTTATAACCGAGTTAAAGTCATGTTTGTGTTCTGTCAAGTCATTTAGTTGTCTTGGATAGAGCTCACTCCAAAAGTCTGTTTCAGATGTACATCTAAAAATGTTTTTTGTCTAAGAGTTTCAATACAATCTGTTTAGAGGTAAATGGGATGTTTTTAATAAGAGACATACAAATGAACACACACTTGCACGCACACAAAATGACAATGGCAAAAACATGGACTTTTTGTCCTCAGCAGCAGGTAATAATAATAAAGTTCACAGACACTGATGGGATCAGGTAACTATGGTAGTTCTGTGGCTGGGAAATTTACTACAGTCTACAGACTGGTATCACAGGATCAAAATTACAGCATAATTTAGTCTGATCACAGCACTGTTTTTAAATGACGCTTTTTTTAATTACAAATTCCAGAAAACCTGGAAACTGGAAAAAGAAAGCAAGTCTTGAAACACCGTGTGAATAAAAGTCTGGGCTAGAGGCCGCTGCCGTCCTCCAAGTCCGCTGACATCACTGCATAAGGAACCACCACGCCACAATGGAATGGACTGTACTTATATAGCGCCTTTCTGTCTTATTTCAAGACAAAGAGCTTTACAACAATCTGTGCCTCATTTATCCATTCATACAGCACTCTACTAGATCTCTACAAAGCTAATTGAACAAATCATTATAAAGAGACTAATCAGTGTTTTATCACATTCATGCACTGATGGAACACACATCAGAGGCTATGAGGGGTTCAGTGTCTTGCCCAGGGACACGTCAGCATGTGACTGCTGGTGGATTCGAACCCCCAACTCTCGCATTAGAGGACGACTGCTCTAACCACTCAGCCACAGCCGCCCACAATGATCAATGCAACCACACTGGCTCGAGAGGAGCATGGAAATTATTGTCCCTTAACACGGTCTTCTGCATCCAGAGGTGTAACCTGAAACTGCGTCACACTGTGTGAAAGCCCTATATTGATTTTGTATAGAAATACTGCCAAGTTTTCTACGTAAACACTCATCCCAGATGGACAGAAAGATGGTGGAAACGTGTTTGAAGAGCAGATGTTCAGCTTGCACTTGGAAAAGAAACTAAACAGCAGCTTCAACATGATACAAAAAGGAAAAGCTATGCAGGCTGTTGTCAGTAAAAAATACCAAAGTTGGTGTCTGTGATGGTTCAGGATGAGCCGGTTTTTGTTTGCAAGTGTGTGTTTTTAAATACTGCAATACTATGAAAACACAATATTTTTGTTCATAGTCATACTGTCAGGATCCCTTCTAGTAGAGCTGTCATTTCTAAACCGAACCCGAAACCCGGCCCAGACCAACTTGGATTAGGGCCGGTCCGGGCCAGTCTCAGGTTTTGATGCGGTTTTACGAATCATACAAAAAAAAAACTAAGAATGCACAATGTAAAATTGTGTTAATCTACTTGTAGAGGAGGAGGCAGTAAGTTTATATATTGAGCAGATGAAGAAAGAAAGAAGAGTGCAGCAGTTAATCAGACTGTGAAGCGATTGCTGGTGCATTGTGCAATAATTGCGCACGTGGGCTCAGGCTTCTGCGGATTTACGAATCATACAGCACAAAGAAAACTAAATGCACAATATAAAATTGTGTTAATCTACCTGAGGAGGAGGCAGGTCCGACCGGCCGGTTTAAAGAGGTTTAAAAAAAGTCACGTTAAGCTCAGATGTCACCTGCCACCGGCCGTGCGTGTCCGCTGACTCGCCAGTTGAAATGGACTTGCAATCTGTCCAGGGTGCGCCCCACCTTTCGCACAGTGACTGCTGGACATGGGCAACAGCAACCCCTGCTACCCGAAAAGGAAGAAGCGGGTAAAGATAATGGATGGATGGATCAATCAGCTGATTGCCAGCTGCACAAGTCTCCACAACTGCTGTCATCTGCAGTGAAGGAAGCAGCAGAATCTACAAAATCCAAAGTGAGCAGCGCGTTCATTTAAAATAGCCTTGTTCTCTGTTTTTCCAAATAATTTTGCTCTACAAATATTTTTGTTCATTTTGTTCAAATCATGTCAAACTGATTTGCTTACAAAAATAGTTTAAGATTAATAAAAATTTAAAAAAGTTGTTTTTTTTCTCAGGTTCGGCCCTCTAATTACCGGTAATCCATTGGGTCCGGGTAGGGCTCAGAAAAAAAAACAAAAAAAACTACGGGCTCGGTCCAGTCCAGGACGGATTTTTTAGGTCCGAATGCAACTCTACCTACTAAGACAGTAAGGGGGTGAATGAGTAACAATGATCATGACTTACATTATGTTCAATCGATGCAGAAAATGGATTATATGAGAGAATTGTAAAATCATGATCAAAACAGCTTTTCTGATGAAATCAGTGGTTACCTCAGTAGTACAACGCAAGACTCCAATCTATTGGACTTACAACAGAATGGCCTAATAAACTGTGTGTGGTGTGTGTGTGTGTGTTTGCGTGCGTGTTTGCGAACCTGTTTTCTACTGACAATGTACCATGATGAAAAGAAAGACACAACCCATGGACTGTTGAGCAACTAAAATCTTGCATTCAGTAAGAATGAGCACAGATGGTCTTTAAACAATTTATATTTCAAAAGATAAATAATCTTTTTTAGGAAACAAAAATATTGTACACTAACGGCTGTTGTACGGCGCAAAATAATGGGAGGCTATCAAAAAACATAAAACTTTCCCCCTTTATTCATATTTTCAAACTTTATTAAATATTTGAACACCAATTTAATTTACAAAAAACCCTAATGACCAAAAGGGTGAGAGTCTAATAAGAACAAAGTCCATGCTCAATGATCCAGGTATACAATCCAACATTTTTCAGTCGGGTCATCTGGACAGTTTCTTTACTCCACTTTGGAGGAAGCTGTTGGGGGAAGAATCAGTTTTGTTGTGTGTTTCCTTGACTGATGAAGTCTTCCGGATTGAAGGCGAAACGTTTCAGAACACAAAAAAAAAAAAATAGAAACTGTCCAGATGACCTGACTGAAAAATGTTGGATTGTATACCTGAATTATTGAGCATGGACTTTGTTGTTTTCAACCAGTCTGACAAGACCGTCAACAAGGAACAGGGCCGGCAATGGAGGAGGGGGTGTACCAAAGAGACCATCTTATCACAAGCAGAACTGGTTTGTTCCACTTTGGAGTAAGCTGTTGGGGGAAGAATCAGTTTTGTTGTGTTTCCTTGACTGATGAAGCCTTCCAGATCGAAGGTGAAACGTTTCAGCACAAAAAAAAAAAAAAGAAACTGTCCAGATGACCTGACTGAAAAATGTTGGATAGTCTAATAAGGTTTGAGAAACGTAAATGGAGCCAAAGTGTCCAAAATTTATTTTTTCCCTTCGGCTGCTACCTGTTGTAGGGCTGTCTACAGTGAGCCAACGTGCACATAAGATCTTGTAGTTGTTCTATGTTGGATGTGTTATTGGCTAATAATGAAATTATTTGCACTCACCATGCTCTGTAACTTTCACTGCTCTTTTATTGTTATTGTGAGAGATATTAAAATGTTCCATGATCCTTACTCTATGTAATAATCAGTCGATACCAGTAGACGGCAAGAGAGATAATTCTATTATCCTCAAGCTCTGATTGATATGATTATAGTGACGTCTTTCATCCAAGAGCAGGGCTTAATTTGTAAACCAATCAATGCCGGAATGCAAATAGCAGGCAAACCGGGTGGGGGGTCCTGGGGAACGCGCATGCTCACAAGAGAAGAACCTGACAAGTTAATGACATAAAATATATTTTGTTAGCAAAGAATAGTCCTAACATTTATTAAACATTACTTTTGTATTTACAAAAAATAAAAAATATAAAAATTGTGCTTTGACAAACTCATCAATAAAACTAAAACATTTTGTCAACACGAAAGAAGAAAGAGGGGCAGGCATCACTCTTGCCTTGAGTTTACTCTTTGTTACATGCGTGGTGTCGGAGTAATTCATTTATCATCTCAGCAGCAGAGGGGAGCAGCACCAATCAAGCATGGCTCCCCAAACAACAAGGCAGTCATATTTGTTCATAACTTTATTATTAGTAAGCCTGAGAGGTGCCGGATCCAAGCAAACCATTGTTGGAACACACCATGACAAAATGAAAGAGTTCCCAGATCTTGTTCCGGTAAGATCTGGTTCAAATTAAGCCCTGTCCAAGAGTCCCTAAGAGTGGCTTGGCTCCCAGATTCCTCCCGTTTCTGACTGCAGCTGGGTTCTGATAAAGCTGGACAGGGAGGGGGAGGGGCTGGGGCCTGGTGGATGGAAGTTTCCACAAAACTGATACTTTCTGTTTAGGAAGTCAGAACGAGTCAGAGCCTCAGACAGGTAGGGCTGAGTACCGAACCGAAGTTCTTAAATGGCACCGACCGAACTACACCGGTCGGTGTATGGATTGAAACGTCACTCTTTTTTCGTTGTCAAGTTTCGGTATTGGCTGTAAGGTGTCACGTGGTTCCAGCACGCAGGCAGGTAAAACGCAGACATATAGCAAACAGACTACGTGTTTACACCCAGAGCTGTATAGAGCTGCCGCAGCTAATCTATGTATAATGTATGTCTACGGTGCTGGTGACGCCCACAGACGGGGTTCACGTGTGCAGCGCGTGTTGTTGAATGGCTTCGACAACACACAAGCAGAAAGTTGCTCCGTGTTTCTCTGCAAGAAGACAGACGGACAGCAGCCTCCCGCCTCCTCCTCTCAGCGTTAGTCAATCTGTGAGTGTTAAATGGACTCAACATTCCACGGCCAGACTCGTCTTCATCAAATAACTCCCGAGGACGGAGCTGCGTCTGTGTTTCAGCTGGTAAGTTCACGTTTGTTAATGTTACTGCAGCTTAACACGTACATCACGGTGAAATAACGCTAACTTTAAGGTATTAGTGTGTAAATTTATTTTATCTATGTAGCTAGCTAAACTCAGAAGCTAACTAAAGATTGACAGTAACAGATAAATCTTAGCTTGTAAAACTGCTCATCCATCCAGTCAGCTGCTTAAACAGTTCACTAATGTTCACTGTTTATGTTCATGTTCTCCTCACAGGAGGTTCTGACCCAGATGTGAGGACAGACAGACAAAAGGAAAGTGAGGTGGGGGCCACACAACAATCACAGACTTTGTTGTTAAAAGTTTGCTGTCTTTTCTACAGTGGGGCCTCCATGGTGGAAGTAAGTTAAGCTGTAAAGGATTTTGTTGACCAGTTAAGGTTTTATCTCTCAGCCTAGATGATGTTTTTTGAGCAATAATAACACAACCATGTTATTGTTGATGTTTTGTGTCCTCATGTCAATTAGGGAGCTGATCAGAGCCCTAAACCCCAGAGAACAACAGAGAAGATTCAGGAAGAGACGCAGGTGCAGAAGTCTGCATCAACCCTAACCTCAGTGAATCCAGTGACCTGCTGGTGGAATGTGAAGGACAACATGTCAGTGCTATCAAACTGACAACCAGGTATCTGTGTGTGCAACAATCATCATCTACAGCCTCAGAATGAACATTTTCTACTGCTGGAGACACCATAAGCCAGGAGCGGGCTTGTTTGTGTCCAGAGAAAACAGACATGTTGATTTTTCTGAAGAAAAACTGTGAAGTGAAAAGGTCCTCAGTGTAGCAGTGAACATTAGACACTGACATGTCACTTGTTGTTTGCAACAGTTCTTTTGAACTGGAAATTATTTGTTTATTTTAATGTAAGAAAACTGCTTGGAATAGAAATACCAAAGTAAAAAATTAAATTTGCAATATGTACTATAATGTGCAATGTAATTTTATTCTTATTAGAATTAATATTAATTACAAAATTGGTACCGAAAAAAGAACCGTCCAGGAACCGACACCAAAGTGAAGTTACCGACACCCATACCGATACCAATTTTTTTTAGAAAGGTACCCAGCCCTACAGACAGGTGAATCATTAAGTGGGAACTAGTAAATGTATTGATCTTCTGTGACTGCTGGTTGTTCTCCAAAGCTTTGTAAATAAAGTAAATATGATGAAAACCTACACTTGGTTGTTTTGGGAATCCCTTTCTTCCACGACATGGGATGCTCATACTGACGCTACCTGAGCACAAACCCACAGACTCAGGATTACAAGACACTGACCACTGAGCTACCAAAGCCGCCAGAGTGCAACACTTACTATGTTTTAATGGGTCAATAGTCTCATTAAAAAAACAATAATTTAATGAGGGGAAAAAAGGGCTTTTTGAAAACAACAGCTGACAAAAAGTGGTGAGCCAGATTTGATGTTTGGTTTGAAAGGCTGAGCGAACACAGTTTGACCAAAATGCTACAACTCACTGCTCACATGTCAGAATTTAACCTGCGGATTCTAAAAACCTCCAGAAAGACATTGTCTGCATATACTTTAAACCTGACGTTCTTTGTGTCTTTTCTGACATTTTGTAAATATTTTTGAAGCATTAAGTTTTACATATTTTTTAAATACACAGGATTTTCTACATTTAATAGTTGTTTTGATAAAGTTAAAATAAAAAGTTGTTTTGATGAAAACACTGAAGATCACGTTCTCTGTAGTTATGTCTGACAAACAAAGCTTCAAAGTATCTAAAAAAGTTAAATTTGGTCCTCTGGACATTCAAAAAAAAAAAAAAAAAAAAACACACAAAAAGAAACTAAACAAATAAATTGTAGAAACGTTTCGTCTTTCATCCGAAAGACTTCCTCAGTCTGAGGTGCTGTTTTCAGCTCAGTCTCTTAAATAGCACCTTCTCAGAGTGGATCAACCAGTTTGCTGCTGACAACCAAAACCAGCTGATCACATGCTCAAGAAGGACCATCAGCCTAACAATGGATCATTAGCACACTGATGGCTGTTTACTATTCACAGAGGGCTGAGTGATACTAGCAATCACAGCATTGTAAGAGGGGGACAATTGAACGCGTAGGCCTCTACCCCTGTTTAATGATGGACGATTTCTTTTCACAAAGATGGCCTCCTTTACTCCTCTCTCAAACCATCGTTCCTCTCTGTCCAGGATGTGAACATCTTCATCCCTGAAAGAGTGACCGCTGGCCTGGAGATGAGTGTAGACCTCAGAGTCCTGGCCTGATGATGTTGATCTTCTGTGCTGGGCCATCCTTTTGGCCAGTGGCTGTTTTGTTTCCCAGATGTAAGACAGATCACCCTCCTGACACTGAACAGCATACACAATATTACTCTGTGTCGAGGGACTGGATCTTTGGGATGAACCAGTCTTTGCCGTAATGTATTTTGGGGTTTAAAAGCCACTGGGACGTTATGTTTAGAAAATAAACGTCTCAGTTTCTCTGACACTCCCTCAACATATGGAATGACCACTGGTCTGGGTTCCTCTTTTTCACCTGATGGCTGACTGGAGTCCTGTTTGGGTTTCTTCTCTGCTTTCAGGAAGGCCCAGTTAGGATATCCACATTGCTCTAGAGCCTGTCTTGTGTGGGATTTCTCCTTCTGCCTGGCTCCTGAGCTAGTGGGGACACTGTCTGCTCTGTGGTACAGAGTCCCGATGACTCCTAACTTGTGCTCCAAAGGGTGATGGGAGTCAAACTGCAAATACTGGTCTGTGTGGGTGGGTTTGTTGTACACCTCAGTTTGCAAATGTCCTCTATCAGAAACTGAGACCTCACAGTCCAAGAAAGCCAACCTGCCATTTAGGATTTTTCTACCTGGATTATTGAGCATGCATCAGGATATCAGCTGCAAGCTGGCAAATAATATAATATAATGATAATATCTGCTGCTTTCTCTCAATATTGCCCAAGATTTAATGACCCTAATGATAAAATCAATTATCCTTGTATTGAGATGATCCAAAAATATAATTTAAGTTTCGAAAAGCAAATATTTGGGGGTAAAACCTTTTTGAAATACCTGATACTACGATCAAAAATGATAAAAATCTACTCCCACACAAATTTCAACATAAAACACACAAACAAATTAAACTACATTTTTATTATAATGCTGTATGAATTTATTTATGCTGGCTGATTTAAATCATCTTTTTTCTCTGTTTTGCTCTCTCGTGTTTGAGTAATGAGACTGTGTGCTTCACACACCTTGATGCCTGCATTGCGGAGGATCTCCAGGGTGGGTCTGACGTCAGTCTGGAGCTGGTCCTCCACCCCCGTCAGGCACAACAACTCCATCTGCATCTCTAGGCTCTCGATCACAGTGGCCACCTTCAGGGAACGGTCATGAACACTGAGCTTGGCCTGGACGTATCGTGCCTGGGCAACGGCGCAGAAATTGAAATATTAAGCATGGGAGCATTTGAAATGAAACATAAATAGGGTCAGTTCACTGGAGAACCAAACAGGAGCAACAGCCAGGAAACTATAAAGTACTTTTAATCTGCTCACCAGCTGTGAGAGCCATGACAAATGGGATAAAAAGATTTAAAAACCATCAGCAAGACTAATGAGGCATTAATATCTATGTGTGCTGCGTCAAAATGTGCTGTATACTCTCAATAATATCACAAAGTTTAGGCATGAATGTACATTTCAGGAAGTGCTTCCACACAGTTGTGCAATGTAACAAAGCTGCACACACAAAGCAGACATAATCAATTGGTCAACGCCCATTTTTAGCCCTCCAGCTACACAGGCCAAATAGCAAGTGAGATAAAGCAAAAACAATCTGAGTGTGACTCACACAGAAACACAAACTGTGTGTGAGTCAGTCGGTGACTCACTGCTGCCCACCAGCTCTGCTCAATCACACACTTCAAAAATGTGCCTGAGGCGAACAACTGCAGGGGAGAAGGCCCTGCCCTGCTCAAACAATGAGTGGGCCTTGTGTGTATGTAGAAGGGAGGGGTGGAGAGACCGGAGGGGGGTCAGAGGTTACATTGACACACTTTGACATTTAAGGATTTTACTTATGGTATCTGGCCAAAATATCAATCTGTATTATTGCTGTTTGTCAGTCAGCAGATGTTAGCTGTAAATGGATTGTGGGAGACATCTGTAACGCCGCTGAGCAGCTTTATGAGACATTTCAATCATGTTACACTAAATGATGAATTCATACACAGCTCAAACTAGCTGCGGTTTAATATTCTGCGGCTACCTTCACACTGCAGCTGGTGCTCAATCTGATCTTTTTGCGTGGTCATTAACACCATCATTACACACGACCTCCATCACACTCCAGTGAATCGTTTACAGTTACTGAGCCGACCCGCATGCTCAGAAGAAAACGTGGTGTCACATGCAGCACGCTGTGTTTAAGGAAGTAAATATGGATGCTACATGTTAGCATGTGTGATTCTGAAGTCGTTATGTCCATCCATCTCCATCCATCCATTTTCTTTACCCGCTTATTCCATTTTGGGTCACGGGGGTCGCTGGTGCCCATGTCCAGCAATCACTGTGCGAGGGGCGGGGTACACCCTGGACGGGTTGCAAGTCCATCACAGGGCCACATAGAGACAAACGAGACAAATAACCATTCACTCTCTCACTCACACCTAGGGACAATTTAGAGTTACCAATCAGCCTAACATGCATGTTTTTGGTCTGTGGGAGGAAACCGGAGCACCCGGAGAAAACCCACGCATGCACGGAGAGAACATGCAAACTCCACCCAGAAAGGCCCCTGGACCGGGGTTTGAACCAAGGACCTGCTCGCTGAGAGGCAGCAGCTCTACCAGTTGCGCCACCGTGCAGCCCGTTATGTAATCAGAACCAACTAAATTATCATCTAATGTGCTCGTTTGTTCCAGTGTTTACATTTCTTCTCGTCTTTTGACAGCTTCTCCAGAGCAGAATTGTATTTTTGGAACAGGAGCGACTGACTGAAGGTAGAAACAAACCCAAGTATTGATCCCATCACTTAGTATTGATACAGACCGACACTAACGTTGGTATCAGATGTTGCTGTGGATTCTGTCATCCAGAACATGAGACTGAACATGTGATGAAATACAAGAATTAAACTGCACGAGGTTGGTATCATTATTAATACTTGGATCGATCTGCTCACCCCTCCCTCACTGATGTAAGTCAGATGAAATGAGACATGGCGGTTCAGACTGAGGTCACTTTGAAAAACATCAGATCTGATTCAGAACCACATATGAAACAGACCTGGGTCAGATTTGTAAAAATCTGATGTCACATTCAGACAGTCATGAAAATATCTGAGATGGGTCACATGTGCTGACGTAGCCTGAGTGAATTTTTACCTCAAAGTCTTGATACTGTTCCTCAGTCAGCGACTTCTTAGAGACCACCAGGACCCTCAGTCCTTCCCTTGCCATGTTTCCACACTAGGACAGAAAGAGCATTTAAATTTCAAAACTTTTTAAAAGTTTATTGATTTGAGAGATTTTTTTAATAAACTTATCACAGCTTGTTAAAAAACAAAACAAAGCAACACCTCCTCCTCCAGCCAGTCGTTGTACTGGACGATGCCTGCCATCACCACATCAGCACCCTTCATGTAGAAAGTTATTTCTCCAGTTGAATCATCCTAGAAAATGGTGCAGAAAAACATCCAAGTTTGAAAAACAAACTATGGCTTTCTCAGAAAGGATTTTAAAAATCTGCGTCAATCAAAAAAAATCACAAATTTACAGTATTTGATGTATAGTGGTAAATTTAAATACCCACATGGGAGTAAAAAATAAAACAGATTTACTGAGAAATGTCAAAAACAAACAAAAATAAACTTATGTTCATTCAAGCTAATTGTGCGTTAAATGTTTTTATTTATCAGATTAAGCGTTTAATTCAAATCTGTTTTTCTAATGTTGAGTCACAAACTTGTGACTGCAGGGACATTATAAGAAGGTTAAAAACATATTTTATAAAAAGAACTAAATCTGCAACTTCTTCGTTCATTTGAACGTAAATTTGGCAGGAACAAGTAAAAAGAAATTATTTTCTGTCTTCTTTGACCAACTTTGTTTTTTAAGAATGGGTGAATATCATTTGAAACTAGAAAATTGAGAAAGACACATTTTTAATGTTGTGTTAAGACTTCCTTTTAGTTGTTTGCAAACTGAATAAATCCAAATGTTGAGAGGACTCTATGTCCATTAATGCTGAATATGAGGTTTCAGCTGCGCAGAGGTTTGAGGTTTCGTTGATTCTTCTCTTCAAGGTGCGCCAAACGTTTTCAGAATGAAACGGACTTGGACTGCAGGCAGAGCAGTTCAGAAACAGACATGATGTTGTGCTCGCCTGACATCACTCAGCTGGACTCACCATGAACATCCACAAAAATATCTTTACTGCATCACGTGTCTCCTCATGGTTCCAACGTCTGCCTCTGCGTCAGTGGTGCTTTCACACGTGCAGTTTAAATATTGGTGATAAAGGTCTCTAGGGTCTTTCTCTTGTTTGTCACTAAAACATCTGCAAACTTAAACACGAACTCTTCTGATGTGAGCACAGGCTCATTGTCTTTCTGTCCATCTGACATGAACTCTTTGAACTCTTTCTTACTGTGAAGCACTCTGTAATGTTCTTTATTTGTGAAAAGATGAGCACGTAAACAGTTTGTTTAGTTTCACTTATTGGTATAAGTAAAAAGTTACTCACTTTGGTCAGTGAAGTCACTGAAGATATTCTTAGTCCTAATTTCATTTAAACAAACTTAAAACAAAATGAAAAAAATCACTTTTTTATTTTCTTTTTCATTTGTGAACCCTTCAACTTTTCTAGCAATGAATCTTAAATACTATGGAAAAACTCAAAAGCAGTATAATTCTTTCAAAATACATATTAAAGCAAAAACTGTAACAGAAAATAAACTGAACAATAATAATGACATATATTTGAATTAATTTCTGCACTAACTCGCACAATGATGCCCATCCTCTTGCTCTCGTAGGTGAAGGGAAATATCTGAAGGATGGTAAAGTTTAGGATTTGTCCAGTAGGGGTCCGCAGCTGCATGGAGGACTGATCTCTTCCTACAAGCGTCAGCCCAACACTCTCAGTCCACTGCACCAGCGACACCTGTCAACACCACAGTGGAAAGGCTTCAGGAGATCATTAAATTAAAGAATAAAACTAAAAATAAAGAAGAAATATTTAATAGCTGCTATTTGTTGTCTGCATTATAACTGCAGGACACAGGAGAAGAAAGTGAATATTTGTATAAGCTCTATGGTAAAAACATTATGTCAATGTGTACTTTCTATGAGTTTTGTGAAAAAGCAAAGTTCACTTCAGAGAAGCGTGGGTTGACGGACAGCGCAGAGACCACACAGCTTTAATCAATAGCTCAAGCATTTTCAGCACTTAAGGATATTGACTGATAAAGCAGAAGGATGGACATTTCTGAAATGAAAACATTTTTTGCTCAGTTCTTTCTGAAGGACACGACAACATCCATTAATACAATATAGTAGGGGGGACATGCAACATGACATTTCCTCCGAACTTCCAGAGCAGAAGCTTGATTACACGGCCCACTGACCACTGGTCTAACACAAACAGCAGAGAAAACAAGGAACTGGTTTCCATGTTCCACACCAGAGGGAAAAATTATTTGGGGCCAAAATGACTTATTTTGCAAATATTTGCCATTAATCTGACCAAACCTGGCCGGGGGTCCTTTAATGTGAGCAAAGCTCTGACTATCACAACGCTTGTCACCCAGGTTAGGATGGATGCAGACAGTTCTGAGTCACAGCCCAGAAATACTCCCTGTGGGATCATTCTTGGATCCGATGTTCGCCACAACAGCATCGCTGTTTCAACCATGCTGTAGTTTGGTGATTTGTTTCTAAATGGACTGAATACTGATGCAGCTAGCAGACCTGACTCAGCCACCACATGGCTGACATGTTTCATTAGTCAGCAAAAAAACAACAACAGCGTGATTCACATATCAAATGTTCATGTAACATGAATCATGAAGAAAATGTCATTTTGATTATCTGCACATTTAAAAGTGGTTATTTTAAAACTATTTGAGGTCATAACTTCATTAAATAATAAGCTGCTGTCAGTTTTGATTACAGGAGAAAATCGTAGTATTCGACAGTCACCGACAGTTTTTCTTTCTTACAGCCACCGTCAAAACCAGAGCTACATTTAAGACTTCCTAAAGATTCAAGAAGCTCTGCTGAATCTGTCTAGGTTGAATTAAACATACACACTGTACCTTCTGAGAAACAGGAACACCCCCCAAAATACCTTTTTTTCCTCCCATTTTTAACAAAGAAAGCTTAATTTCCTGCCAACAGTACAAACCAACACTGAGTTATTTGTGACACTGTCACAGTGAGTTGAGAGGAGCAATGTGCTGTGAAGCTCATTAAGGAATCTGTATTTATGATGCAGGAAATGAACCAAGTCAAACTCTAGAGTCCTCTCACTGATGTTCAAAGAACTCAAACTGATCAACAACATAACTTAACTCGGCCTTGTTTAAAACCACCACTTCAGGAGTAAGACCTTTATTACCAGAAGTGTTCCCCAGATCCTTAGCTCTCTTGACTTTGCTTCTTTTATAAATTAGATATGATCTGAATGGTGCTGTATTGCCACAACCGTGCACGAACAGTGGGCAGTAAAAATGAACTAGTGAATGGATGAATGATTGAATGGGCAGACAGAGGGACTGACTGACAAACGGGTGAATTCTAGTGTTACAATACGAGAAAAGGAGTCTCATTTGTTTCTGTTTGCCACTGATTTAATGTTTTATTGTTCTAAAGATGAAAAAACTTTTTTTGGTTAATATCTTACCCTTTTTAGACCAAAAATCAAATAACCAGTTATCTTGTTATTCCAGTCTTTCCCCACTATTATCAGCAGCTCACCCAGCTAAAGAAACCACCTGCCCCACCATAAAGATGTAAATGTAAAAAATTAATAAATGTACATGTTCCCACGTGACCAGTTCTGTGCAGCGGGGGGAAACACCAAATGTCCTTTTCCCCTTCATCGACCCCTCCTCTGGCACCATACCCCGACCTCCTGGGAGTTTTCTATCTAAAATTTAACTGTGTATTAAATGTTAATGCGTTCAGAGTAAGATCATTAGCGTACAGACATGTCCGACATTTACAAGTAAGCAAACTCCAGCTAGCAGAGAGGGTGTCGCTGTGGGAGCGCACAGCCTGTTTGAATCACTCTCTGCAGTAAACTCAATGTTTTCTGCAGCTTTTGATTTAGGAATAAAACTGTTAACATTAAAAGACAGTTATTTGTATGCCCAGGATTAACGCAAACTGTGAGTGTCAGTTTCAAGTTTTTGTAGTTTATCATAAATACCTACAAATGTCAATTCTAAACAGAGTTATTCAATTCACTTCAAAAATATTTTATTAATCCCAGAGGGAAATTAAGTGTTGTCGTAGCTCATCATCTTGGTTTCATTCAAGAGTTGTTATAGACGCTGATAGCTGTGGGCAGGAAGGATCTTCAACAGCAAATTCAAAGAATCTGGCCACAGATACTGATCCATCCACCTGGATCCAGCTTGCTGTCAGATCTGGTGGGCCTCTCGGTCCTCCTGGGTAGCAGGACTGCCCGACTGCTGGGTAGAATTCCTCCCTGAGCGATGGTCACTCCTCCCAGCAGTCTGCCGAGCTTCTCGTCACCATGGACAGACAGCTTATGGTGCCGGAGATGATCCCGGTCCTCCCGTTGTCAAAAGCTGAGTTTCCCACCAGCTCCATGATCTTGGTGGTCAGGTACTCGAGCACAGCTGCCAGGTTGATGGAAATTCAACCACGGTGCCTCCTTTTCAAGTCATTTGGGGCTGTAGCTGATGTATTTGAGCTTTTGAGATGTTAATCAGCTGCTCCTGGTTGTTTAAAAAAAAACACCTTATCGCCATGGTTACGCAACATAAATGCCCAAAAGTAAAAAGGTTTCTATAAAAATCCTCCCAGCTGCACAGCATCCAATACCAGAAGAAGTAATCATCCAAAAAAAAAGTGATTTACATCCAGATAAAAGAGGAATTAAAGTTTTCAAAAGCAATAACAGAATGAATGTAACAGAGCTGCTCCAACATGCAGCCACCCCAAGCGGCGCAATTCTATAACTATAACTATATATATATATATATAACTAGTTATATAACTATAACTTATAGCTGATCAACCACATTTTGGGTATTTCTTAGTGCTAAGCTTGTTTGTGAGGTAACTGCACTGATAAATGTAATTCAATAAATGATCAAATATGAAAAATAAATTGTATTAAATGACCAAAATCTTCAAATATTACCCCTTACAGTGAACAAAAGTCATTATAAGGCAGAACTCTGTCAGTCTGGCAAACATAAATGACAATTTTTAAGTTATTTTGTACTGGTCAAAGCCTGAGAAATAATTTTAAAGAGTACTCTTTATGAACATACAAAAGGTATATAAAGGCAAAATATAATTTCAATGTCATCTTTCAGGAGATGAAAAACTGTAATCACATTTCAACTTAGGAACATCACACTATAACTGTTAATGGAAGTTCTTGTCACTAAAAGCACTTGAGCATTAAAACATTATGACTGTTAACAACACAGGCAGACTAGAGAAACAGATCTGACACCATCACAATCAATTAAAAAAATTAATAATTCATGAATTATATTCATTCAAAAATGTTTCAACCAACTGAAAACTAATCTTCAGTTTGGTTTTCACTCCAGCAAGAAAAGCTACACACTTGGTAAATAAATCATCCAAGTTATAAAACTACTAAAACTGGTATTAAAAGCAAAACATATTCTTTTACCAACGAAAAAGGTTAAATCATGTCATCTGGACCAGTTTCTTTATTGGAGAAAGATTTCGTCCCCCATCTAGAGGACTTCGTCAGTCTGCGGCCTGCCAACCAGATCTGTCTCATAGTAGCCTTCACTGCTGTGTTTCCAGTCCTGCGGATGGGGAACGAAACGTTTCTCACTTAAAGAAACTGGTCCAGATGACATGATTTTTTTCTACCTGGATTGAGCTTACAAACCACATTCTTTAATCAACCTCCTTCCCAAGACAAGAAACAATTGGGAAAGTAGAGCTGTCATTTCTAACTCGGGCCCAAAGCCCGGCCCCGCCAAACCTGAATTCGGGCCAATGTGCTGGATGGGTGCACCAGATCGGTGTCGGGCTTTTGACTGCGTCAGCGGATCAGCGGCGATCCAATTATATGGCAACATGGCTTGCCATACGATCACCAGCCGCATGCGGCCATTTCACTACGAGCGGACCAGCCTTGAAAGGTAAAATAAAGTTCAGTTAAGCTTCAGATGGGACTGTACTTCCAGGAAGTGATCCATCGCCCAAATGGACGTTCAGTCGCTGCACTCAGCGAATGCGCGCTACCGATGACCCAATCAGGTGAGATCCCAAAGCAGACATGTCAGAGCAGGGTCTGTGTCTGAATAATGCAGAATGCAGGAAGAAGCAGGGATTTAATGTTCTTTGACAGCCATTAAAGGACAAACACCCCCTCAGCTCCAATCTTCTGCCCCCTTAGCTGCGCGCGTCTTCTTCTTCTCCTTTCGGCTTTTCCTTCTTCAGGGGTCGCCACAGCGAGTCATCCTCCTCCATCTCACTCTGTCCTCTGCATCCTCTGTCCTCACTCCAACTACCTTCATGTCATCTCTAACTGCATCCATATATCTCCTCTTTGGCCTTCCTCTTTGTCTTTTTCCTGGCAGCTGCATTTCTAACATCCTTCTACCAACATACCCACTGTCCCTCCTCTTGACATGTCCAAACCATCTCAGTCTGGCCTCTCTAACTTTATCTCCCAGTTGTCCAACCTGGGCTGTACCTCTGATGATCTCATTCCTAATCTTATCCAGCCTTGTCACTCCTAAGGAGAACCTTAGCATCTTCATTTCTGCCACTTCCAGTTCTTTCTCCTGTCTTTTTGTCAATGCCACTGTCTCCAGACCATACAATATAGCTGGTCTCACCGCTGTCTTGTAAACTTTTCCTTTGACCTTTGCTCCCTTTTGTCACAAATCACTCCTGAAACTTTTCTCCATCCACTCCATCCTGCCTGGACTCTCTTTTTCACTTCTTTAACACACTCCCCATTTTCCTGGACAGTGGACCCCAAGTACTTGAAGTCCTGCACCTTTATGACCTCTCTGCTCCTTGTAGCTTCACTGTTCCACCTCCTCCCTCTCATTCACACACATGTACTCTGTCTTACTACGGCTGACTTTCATTCCTCTTCTTTCAAGTGCATACCTCCACTTCTCCAAGTTATCTTTCACCTGTTCCCTGTTTTCACCACAGATCACAATGTCATATGAAAACATCATAGTCCATGTGGATTCTTGCCTGACCTCATCTGTTAGTCGGTACATCACCAGAGCAAACAAGAAGGGGCTCAGGGCCGATCCTTGATGCACTCCCACCTCCACCTTGAAGCTATCTGTCACTCCTACAGCACATCTCACCACTGTCCTGCTATCCTCAAACATGTCCTGTACCGGTCTAACATACTTTTCTGCCACTCCAGATTTCCTCATGCAATACCACACCTCCTCTCTTGGCACTCTGTCATATGATTTTTCTAACTCCACAAAGACACAATGGAGTTCTTTCTGACCCTCTCTGTACTTCTCCATCAGCATTCTCAAAGCAAAGATGGCATTTGTGGCGCTCTTTCTTGGCATGAAACCATATTGCTGCTCACAGATTGTCATCTCTCGTCGAAGTCTTGCTTCCACAACTCTCTCCCAGATCTTCATCGTGTGACTCATCAACTTAATTCCCCTGTAGTTGCTACAACTCAGTACATCACCCTTGTTCTTAAAAATGGGCACCAGCACACTTCTTCTCCATTCCTCAGGCATTTTCTCACCCTCAAATATGCCATTGAATATTTGAGACAAAAACCTCACTGCCATCTCTCCAAGACATTTCCAAACCTCCACTGGTATGTCATCAGGTCCTACTGCCTTCCCCTTCTTCATTCTTTTCAGAGCTTTCTGGATTTCACCCTCACTAATCTTTCCCACTTCCTGGTCCACAGTTTCTATGACCTCTGCTCTTCTTTCTCTTTCATTCTCTTCATTCATTAGCTCCTCAAAGTACTCCTTCCATCTTCCTATCACACTCTCCTCACTTGTTAGAACATTACCATTTCTATCTTTAATATGCCTAACATGCTGCACATCCTTTCCAGCCTGATCCCTCTGTCTTGCCAATCGGTACAAGTCCTTCTTGCCCTCTTTAGTGTCCAGTCTCCCATACAACTCATCGTACGCCCTCTGCTTTGCCTTAGCTACTTCCCTCTTTGCTCTATGTCCCATCTCCTTATATTCCTGTCTCCTCTCTTCAGTCCTCTCACTGTCATATTTCTTCTTGGCTAATCTCTTTCTTTGAACGGCATCCTGCACTTCACTATTCCACCACCAGGTTTCCTTATCATCCATTCTCTGTCCAGATGACACACCAAGTACCTTCCTACCCGTCTCTCTAATTACTATTACTGTAGTAGCCCAGTCATTTGGAAGCTCTTTCTTACTATCCAGAGCCTTTAACAGCTCCTCTCTGAATTTCTCACAACATTCTTCCTTCTTCAGCTTCCACCATTTGGTCTTCTTCTCTGATTTTACTCTTTTTCTCTTCTTCACAACAACAGTCATTCTACACACAACCATCCGATGCTTTCTGGCCACACTCTCCCCTCCCACAACCTTACAGTACCCAATCTTCCTCAGGTTTCCTCTTCTACACAGAATGTAGTCGACTTGCATACTCTTTTCTCCACTTTTATAGGTCACTCTAGGTTCCTTCCTCTTTTGGAAACAGGTATTGACTATAGCCATTTCCATTCTCTTGGCAAAATCCACCACCATCTGTCCTTCCTGGTTTCTTTCCTTGACACCAAACCTACCCATCATTTTCTCATCCCACTTCCTCATCCCCTCTCTTTCCTTCACCAACATGTTCATTCAGGTCTGCTCCGATCACCACTCTCTCCTTCCTGGGAATAGTCTCTACCACTTCATCCAGATCTTTCCAAATTAAAAATGTTGGGGGGGGGGGGGGGGGTTGGACCTGTAATTACTGTTAATTTGTCAGGTCAGGTGGGGTTTGGAAATGATGGCTACAGGCTGGGGCCAGGTCGGATTGGATTTTTTGGCCCCAAATGCAACTCTAGGGGAAACCCACTGACTTCAAAGCTCTTTCCTTCATGTCAGTGCTTGCCCTGTGCCGTTTGGTTTGTGATTTTGTTAATAAATAATGATTTTTCTCTGCTCCTTGGTTGGAAAATGTGGGTTTAACTTTATAAGCTGATTATTTTCCCAGTCTCAGTGTCAGAAAACATGAATATGTCACTGTGTAGTGACCTCTTACCTCATCTGGACTGGACGCCTGGTAGACCCTGCATGTGTCTTCGTAGTGCTGCTCAGCCTCAGCCTGGTCCGTGACACCATTGGACTCGTACACAGGTGTCACGTTGTGCACAAGGGCAATGGCTTTCACAGCCTCGTGAACTCGACTGCTGATGGTTTTTCTGACCTTGGTGGCTGCTGGAGCCCTGGAGGCTGGAAGGTCATGAGTGGCCTGAGGACAACAACAAGACACCTGGATTAAAATATTGTTAGAAGAGTAAAACGATCAATCTTTTAAAAAGTCAAGAGTTTTTCTAAAACAGGGTCACAATCAGTCAATCACTGCTCTGATAGGGATCTGTAAGCATAACCAGATGTGCAGAGTAAATATGATTTGCTTTTGTGTTGTGACTTTGCTATTTTTAGAAGACTGTGTGCTCCAAGGGTTAATGGTTGTGTCATTAAAGAAGTCCTGTCAGTGCTTCGCTTGTGGGCTGATCCTGTTTCCTGCTTCACTAACCTTTGGTGTCAAGGGGGACAAAGAGTGTCATACGAGATCAGGAAGCATTCAACCAAACAATAATCACAAACTCATACGTTACTCAAGGCACACTGCTCGTCTCTGTTCATTTGATGTTTTCTCAAGGTTTAGGAATTCCAATGTTTTAATATTTAGGTTGTGATTTTTTCTTTCTGTCATGTTCTTTCTTTGTTGTTGCTTTTTCTTACTTGTGTGTAGGCGCTAAATACATGGCTCTGAACTTCATCCATAGAGTCCATCCCGTAAGCCACAGTCCCAAGATGGAGCCGCCTGAATACCATCTCGTTCAGGGTTAGTGTACCTGTTGAAGGGAACATTACAGGCAACTAAATATAGAGAAAAGTTTCAGCATGAGTATACATTACACCAGTCACTAACCCCAGCACAAACTTTATGTGCCGTTTATCTAACTATTCTAGCACTGACATCTGGATTTACAGACTTTGAGACAAAGATCACCTGAACAGACTTTAAATGTGAAATATTGTGGCTAAAAAATTCTATAAAGGAAGTCAAAAGTCTTTGACACAACACAGAACCTCTTCATCCTAACACTTCCTTTAAAAGTATTTTCTGCCAGTATATCAAAAAGACTTCAGGGGGCACGCACATACACCCGCCTGACCTGCAGACCCCACTGGCCTAATCGCACTCTGGATGTGGAAATGGCCAATCATTTTATTGGCCATGAGGGCTGTAAATCTAACGTGTAACGCCTCACGCCTGGGGAAGTGCAGCAAAGGAACTGTTGGGCTATAAATCTGTGCATGGATGAGAGACATTGTTTTTTTTAGGGATTCAATAGGTAGCAGGTCTCTGACAGCAAAGACCCCACCAAAGAGCAACGCCCCCAGGGAAGGATAACACTAAACTAATTTATTAGAAGCTCCTACTTTAGAGCTCAGCCTGCTGGCCTCAGTAGCTCTCTTTGTCACAAAATACAAAGTGAGAAGTGTAACCTGTTTTATCAGTCAGCAGGTAGGAGATGCGTCCAAGCTGCTCTGGTATGGTGCTGGCCCTCACCACCGTTCCTGGGATCTTCGAGTCTTTCTTAATCATCCAGCTGAAAACCATCTTTCCCATATCCAGGTTAACACGCAGACTGTATCAAATTACAAAAGAAAACAAGCATTAAGCAAGCCTTTATTTTTATCACCATCACAAAAACTAATGCTGATGACATTTGACAAAATCTCATCTCGCACCTTATGGGCACAATGTGGGAGAAGAGAAGCAAGAAGCGAAAGATCTGCAGGTACCAACGGCCAGCAAAGTGCTGGAGGGCCACCATGACCAGTGACACCACAACCAGGGCCCCGAACAAGATCTTGGTCAGACAGTTCACCTCCAGGTCAAACAAACCCACCTGACAGGAGCAACAGAGGCAAACACTGTGACTCAAAGGAACAATCAATCAAAGAAAGTTTATTAATTGGCTTTTTTTAACGTATGTGAATGTTTCTGTTCAGTGCCCTGAGATGACTTCTGTTGTGACTTGGAGCTATATAAATAAACTGAATTGAATTGAAAGACCATCTAATTCATTTCAAGTTAAACTGATCACTCATATCTTCAATTAAACATGGGATTTATAAATAAATTGGTGTAGGTTGGTGCTCTGGTTCTACTGTACCTTGTGTCTTGGGTTGGAGGTGTTCATGACACTGCGCAGCTCCTTGCCTGTGTAGATCACAACCCCCACCACTGTGCCTGAGTAGAAAGGGGGTGACAAAAAAGTGCCTCAGGTTACTAGAATAAAGCTTGAACATAAACCACAATATGTCAGAAAGATGTTTCCCAGACCTATTATCCTGACATGAGTAGACATTTTCAAACGAAGAAAGTCACATTTTAAATGACATAATGGATAACACATGTTGGAGTGAGTTCAAGAGGATTTATTCTCCTGCAGGAGAAACACTATAATAGGGAACTTTCCCAGAGCCATTTATAAATGACTAAAGTGTTTTTCTGCCGCCTTTTTTGTTTTGGTTATATTTTAATTTATGTTTAATTTGACAAATATACAAATTAAGATTTCCAGAAAAAGCAATGGTCCTGGTTACTTTGTTACTTTAACTGCATTAAAAGGTCATCAGACAGATATTTACCAGAAGCAACAACGGTGCTGGCCCAAAGGGTGTTCTCAATGCTGAGACTTTCATTAACAGGTGGGTCTCCATCCTCCTGTTCAAACAACAAATACACAAAACTAGAGTCAAAAACCTGTTCAAGAAGTCCCAGCTTTGTTAAACAAGAAAACAATCTTCATTTCTGTTATTTTACATTCACAATGCACTTATGAACATCATGTACATAAAATGAAAATGATCATTTGACAATTCGGATTCAAGGTTCTTTATTTGTCATACTTACCACGTGTGGTACATGTGGTGGAACAAAACTGAGTACAGAGGGACCCAGTTACATCCAACAAAAGTATTAAAATGTAAAAGAAAAACTGTAATAACATCTAAGATATGAACTAAGAAAAATGTTAACTAAAAATACACTAAGCACTAGTAGTCCAAAAACAATACACTGAACAGCAGCATGAACATGTCTGTGTGAGCAGATGAGCACAAATGAACACAGCAACATGAAACAGATCAGCAGCAACATGAAACAGATCAGCAGCAACATGATGTGATTTTTCACAGTGATCATCCTGGTTAGAGATTCATGAGTCCAACAGCTTCAGGGTAGAAGCTGTTCCTCAGTCTAGTGGTTCTACACTTAATGCGCCTCAACCTTCAGCCTGAGAGGAGTGGGGCAAAAAGTGTGTGTTGGGTGAGTGTGGTCCTTCATGATGCAGGTGTCTTTCTTCCTGCATCTGGAGGTGTAGATGTCTGTGATGGTGGGGAGGCTGACTCCAACATCTTCTGTGCAGCCTTCACCACTCTCTGCAAAGTTTTTCTTTCTGCAGCTGTGCAGCCTCCATGCCACACGTTGATGCTGGAGCACAGGATGCTCTCCACTGCACACCTGTAGAAGGAGGTGAGGACTGAGCTTCCCAGACCAGCTCGTCTCAGCCGCCTGAGGAAATTGAGTCTCTGATGAGCTTTCTTGATCAGGCTGGTGGTGGTGTTGCCCCAGCTGAGGTTGTCATTCAGGTGCACACCCAAGTAGTTACGTATAGCTGGAGACCAATTCCACCACAGATCCTCCTATGTTCACGGGGGGGGAGGTGTGTTTGTTCTGTCTGAAGTCCACAACCATCTCCTTTATTTTCTTCACATTGATGTGAAGGTTGTTCTTCCTGCACCAGCTCTCCAGATGTTCCACCTTTTGCCTGTAGCTGGACTCATCATTGTTTGTGATGCATCCCACCACCGCTGTATCATCTGCAAACTTTACAATATGACAGCCTGCATGGGTAGGTGCTTAGAAAATAAAAAAATAAATAGACAACCAATAGCAAAATGTTCAATTTTGTGTTTTGAGGTTTAAACACTAAACGTTAAAGAAACCAGCCTCTTTTTAATATTTCTCAAAAGGCATAGCTTAAGAGGCAGCTGTGGTTGGGTGGTTAGAGCAGTCGTCCTCCAATGCGAGAGTTGGGGGTTCAATTCTACCAGCAGTCACATGCTGAAGTGTCCCTGGGCAAGACACTGAACCCCTCATTGCCTCTGATTAGGGATGCATGATGTTGGATTTTTGGCCGATATCCGATATGCCAATATGTTAAAATGTATTTGGCCGATAACCAATACCAATACTTTTAATATACTTTCCTTTGTCAGAACATAGCTCTCTTATTTAGGCTTATTTGCTACAAAAATTGTGTAACAGCTGTAAGAGCTGGTGACATATATTCAGTAACAGCCATATGATAGCACTTTAACTTATATTAAATGAAACGTGTTAAATGTTATTAATTAGCATCACTTCAACAATTGCTCTTCTCAAGGGCGGACATCTCCTCCTCTCCCTCTCTGCTTTGCTTTTGCTCTGTCCTGTCTTTGAAACTGCTTTAGAGCCTCTCTTCTACAAATCTTCCAAATCATAACTATGGATCTGGATTTGGTCAGTTGGTCTCTCAACACATTTGATAACGTTTCTTTGACAAGAAGACAGGCTTTCGGTGAGCCGATTTGCCCTGTTGGCATATCTCATATCTCATCGACTTTGAAGACTTGATGACATGTCTATCTCTGCTGCCATTTGTGGATTTTAAGGACACATTTATAATTGGATTTATGATAACTGGTTCCTGCTTTTTGGATTCGGCTGGTTCCTGGTCTATCAACAAACAAGGAAGTCGTCGGCAGCAAATCTGGACCTGGTCAGGCTGCCTGCCTTATATGATGGCTTGGTTCGTGCCTCGAGCACACAGACTCTTGGCAGAATGGATCAGATCTCGGGGATTATTCTCAGGCACGTTCCACTGGTATGGTCATTTAATTTGGACGTTTCTGAAGCAAGTGGACCGACACAGACATCATTAAAGTTGTCATTATAGATATCATTATAGATGTCATTAAAGTTCTGCCTGTCCCCAAAACAATCATGTTTTTCTGAATTCGGCTCCCTGACTGGCCTTGACAGGCCATCTTATCTCAACCCGCCTGGAAAGTTTTGTAAACGTGATGATTCTACCCCCTCCCTCCCCAACTACTGAGAAACTTCCATGGACTTTTCAAAGAAGCCCAGCTGAATAAACATTCTGTCATCATTTCAGGACTCAGGATTTGTCTCTGGTCGTCCTTGGCATCCCCCAAGTGTGCACAGATCTCTCCAGAGAGAACTATTTGAACTGAGTGATTTTATCTGAACTTTGCAGTGCCTCTGTGTAATATCTCTGGCTGCACATCGACCTTGCGTCCCCCCCAGGCCCCCCCGTGTAACTTCAGCATCATTATGTGCTCGTGTGCAAGATTTTTTTTTCATTATCACACTGTTGACCTTCAAACAGAGGTTCAAAGCGTGTTAGGAATTTTTTTTGTCTCCAAACCCTATATGTCATTTTTCACCACTTTTATTGTCTGTCCAAACAGGTCCCACTTGTAAATGAGTCTTTGAGGCTCATTGTAACTTATATGTTTAAATAAAGTTTGAATGAATTAGTCACCTGCGATGCTGTCTCACTTGTGGAGGCTTGTTCTGGGTTCCTAGCTGCAGTGTGGGATCCTCTGCACTATTGTGCATGAAGGACAGCCTTTTTAAGTTCAAAGTTTTTGTCTATCCATTGTGCCGTAAGACTAATCATGCTAACGGGGCTAACTAACACTTAACATCCAGATGTCTGTGGTAAAACCCACCCAAGTTCTATCAGCTATTAGCTTCTCAATGACGTTGAAAATGACGGCTTGTAACTCGGGTAAGGCTACGTCGGAAAAATATCTCTGACTGGGGACAATGTAGCGAGGCTCAACATAGTCCAAAAATCTTCAGAATCCAATATCCTCAATGAAAAAAAAACCTTCTGCATCGCCGACATTTTGACTTCTTCCTCTCCGCCGTGATCAGATCAGGTAGACACACATGACGTCATCACGTTGTGCTGGTGCTGCAGGCATCCTTGTCACTGGGTTGTCATACAAAAACAACGTCTTTTATACCGGTGAGTTATTTTGATGGAATGGCCGATGTCCGATATTGAACTTTAACACTAATATCGTCCGATATAGATACCATGCCGATAATATCGTGCATCCCTACCTCTGATGTGTGTTCCATCAGTGCATGAATGTGATAAAGCACTGATTAGTCTCTGTATAGATATAGTAGAGTGCTGTATCAATGGGTAAATGAGGACACAGTTTGTGTTGTAAAGAGTTTTGAGTATCTTGATAAGGTAGAAAGGTGCTATACAAGTACAGTCCATTTACCATTTAAGTACTTAATGTCACCTTTAACAACTAAAAATCCAAACTAAACACAACGTTATAATCAAATATGAAAAACATAAGGCATTAAAGGCATGAAAAGTGTTTTGGTATTAATTTAAATGGTAACTTTTTCCAACAAGCTAAAGGTTAGATTAGGTTTCACAGAAGATACACAAATTGTGTTAAAAAAAAACTGCACTTCATGATTTTAACTTGTGCTTTAGTGCTAATAGGACTAAAGGTGTATTACAACTTCTCAAGGTTGAAGTCATAATTTTCAAGTAAATCCGCTAAGATGCTAAACCAGATGCAAAAGCATTACAACAAATTGCCACTGAAGTCATAAAGAAAAGAGCTTCAGCTAAAATGAAATTTAAGCCTCACCCTGGTGAAAGTTCCAATAAAGTTATGAATATCAATGTTTGGTTCTTCTGCATACACGTAGGATCTGATGAGGAGAAGATCCTGAGAAAGAGAAACAAACAGTGACTCACTTTAAAACCTGGCCATACACACACATTTAACATTTATTGTTTTGTACTTTTAACTAAAGTTGATAGAAACTTTAAAACTATTTCAAAACTATTTTATCCAGCAGGGATCAAAGGTTTGTGTATAAAAAAGTTCAAATTCAGATGAACTCTACGCTTGTCTGATTTTATGTTTTACACTGAATCTTGTTTGAAGCTTTAGTTTAACAGATAAACAGAAGACAGGAAGTACTGAAGGAGGTGTTAATCCAACTTGTTTTCTGAACACTAAAATAAGACCAGGTGTTCCTCCAGACAACAGCTTAAAACTAAAACATTAATTTTAGCCTATTTTCCTCAAAAAAGGTAGACATTATGTACTCGTATGAAAAGCCTAGTATTCGTCTTTGTGGTAACTTTTAGTCAACAAAACAACCATTTTATTTTACAGTACCAAATATTAACCTTTTAGAGTTTTGTACACATTTGCACAACATATATATTGTTTCAATCCTTAATATTTATTACTCCTGATCACCTCCTCCCTCAGCTCACAGCTCTCATGTAACGCTGCATCAAAATGCCAGCAGGGTAGGTTACAGACAAAAACTAAAATTAAATGTAAAATGTGGAACAGCACTGACAACTTCTCAAATGTATCATCACAATAAAAACCAGAGTTCATGGTGATAACTGGTAAGAGCAGTCAAACACTGATAGCCTGTGTAAAGGTGCAGGCCGGAGGTGACTCCCAGCTTTTAACTTGGCTCCTTTGATGTTCAGGCCACCCTACAGTCGACTTCAATGAGTGCTCTGTGCTAATGAAAGACTTGCTCCTCTGAGAACACAACCTGGATCCACACTCACTCCTGTGTTCCTCCATTAACAAAGAACGACACACAACAGTGGAGAAATGACTTCTCTCCTGTGCCTTTCCAACCTCTCCGTCAGCGTTTCGCACTCACAGCAGCAGTCGGCAGCCTCTGGGTGCAGGCCACAGGGAGGCGTAGTTTCCAGTCCGTCTCTCCGTCCAGCTGGTCCGTCCGCAGGAAACAGGAGCCTGTGAACACCAAACAGCACTAATGATGCAAAGTGAACACACTTTGACCTCTAGAGGGCAACCATACGTCAGCCTTTTGTTCAAATAAAAGGACTATACAAACTGCTTCAGCATAAATCACTGAAACTCCACTCCTGAAGGGGTAACCTGCCTGTGCCTCATGTCCATTATTGTCAAAGTTAGAAGTTAGAATAATTCATGAAAAAGGTACAAACTAATGTTTGTCAATGCGAGTGGGGCTGAGCTGCAGATTATTGTTGGCAGAGGCATCCATCACAGCCCATCCCCCGTACTGCATGCGCCATCCTACCCAAACCTTCAAATCATGGCTTGGCCATTCATAATTGACCTAATGGCCTCCATATGGAAGAGAGATAACCAGCCTCAATTTCCAGTAAAACAAAGTTGTTGTTTTTTCCTGGAACAGGATACACAAAAACAACAACCATTTAGCCTTTCTAAGAGTCATATTTGGTTTTATAGAAGCTGGAAATAGAGCTTTTGTGATGTTTTAATGTGTTTGGGCCGTAGTGGGCGCTCTTTGAAAGAGCCAGTGTGTCATCACTGACAATGGCTGTTTTTCATATTTGATTATTCAGATGAGGCATTAAGGCTCGATCGTCTCTCGTCTCCTGTTTTCTCTTTGCATTTCATCTTATGCGTCCCTTGATTTTCCTTTTCATTATCTCCTCATTTGAAAGACAAAATTAGTCCCACACAAATATCAGGAGGGAACAATGTTTCCTCTGGGAGAAGTTTGCCATCATGCAACATTTTGAGTGACAATTTACTAGTGGACTCAGTCACAGTTTATACACTGCGGGGCTTCCTGTTGTGGCTCAGGGTTAATCCCAGCACCTCAGCGCCTTTTTAAACAAGCCGTTCCCCGGCCAGCCTGGCTGTTGTGGATGTCTGGATGAATGACCAGCAGATGTTTACCATTTCTTTCAGAGGTTCTTAAAAAGATCATGTCAGCAGGAACACGTTGGTTCTACAAAGAAAGACAGAAAGAAAAGCATGATTTCAACATCACTTCAAGGTTGTACACACGGCCCCCGTCCGTTCTCTTTAGCTGCAGAAGAATAAGGCCTTGTAGCTATTCATGTGTCACATTACTAAACAGACAGTCAAAAATAATAAACCCTCCAGCCAATTCTCCTGTTGAGACCAAAACAAGACCTCAGTCAGATTTTTCCTTGATTTGATTCCTCTTTTTCTTTAAACAAAATCACCCTTTAAATCCTCTGAACAGCTTTCATAAAGTTAACCTAATAATGGATTAGTGTCAAGCAGTAAACCGTTTGATAAAAACCTTGAATAGTTGTTCAAATACAGGTTTTATTTTAATCAAGAGACGTCAAATGACAACACAACTTTTACATTTCTGGATTACACTAAAAAAAAAAAAAAAAACAGAATCACATGATCAATGTAGCAATCTAAAATCACTGATATGAATGATTCTAACAAATATCTACAGATAAAAACTGAAACTATTTCACATTTCATCTACAAAAACCTCAAACTAATCACGACAGGTTCAACTCAGACCATCACTCTAAACATTCAAAACTATTAAACATCAAACTACAACTGGAATTTCAGAAATTACTAATACAGTGAACCCTCGCTATAACGCGGTTCACCTTTCACGGTCTCGCTGCTTCACGGATTTGCAGCGTGCATTGTGTTCTGCATTCTGATTGGCTAAACAGTCTCTCCAGTACAGTAGTTATTTGTAAAAAATGTTTATACAGTACTTTTATATGTTAAACAAATGCTTGGGCCTGTAAAAAGGTTTTGTTCTTTGGTTTGAATGTTTTATTGAGTATATCATTGTATAATAATTGTAAAAAAAATTAAAGGTTACTACTTCACGGATTTCACCTATCACGGGTTCTTTTTGGAACATAACCCCCGTGAAAAACGAGGGTTCACTGTATCTATTTAATTTACAACAAAACTCTAATTAAAACCATTTTAAGTTCCCCATCTCTTAGTTTTGACAGGCTGAGGCTGAACATTGATCACAAGATTACAAAATCTTTACTAACTTCTTCCACTTCAGTCTCCAGTGGAGCAGAGATGATTAACAACCCCCCTCCCCCGTCCCTCATTATTTGCCCTGATGTAAATGGAAACTTGACAGTCCTAAAAGGCACAACTATTCACAGATGTTCATAAAACCTGGAACAAACAACCTTCAACAAACCTTTTCCACAATTATAAGGTCGCCCACTTGAATGCCACTGCTTTTAACCTTCACTGTGCCTGAAATACAAAACAAGATGCAAACAACAGGTCAGTTAGTTTATTACCTAGAGTTATATATAAGAAACTATCTGAAACTTATAGGAGTACTAAACGTATATAATAGCCTACTGTGTTACAGGTTTCCTTACTTGTAAATAGATTATCAATTTTGTTTTCCATCAAATCCGTCTTTAAAAAGAATCAATGACTCATTGATGTACCCTGCATGTCAAACCAATCACCTCAGTAAATTTGGGAAAACTGCTCTCCTTGCAGATTTAAAGGAATGTGGGGGGAGTTGAGCTTTTTCTCTCATTCCACTTGGAGTGAACGGGCAAAACTGTTTGGAAAAGATCACTGACCCTTGAACTGTGCCGTGACCTTTGGGCTTTGCATATGTAAGACATTAAAGCGCATTAATATTGTTACGCACTCAGAGTTCACGGGACTTCAAATGAGCGCAGCAGCATTTTAGGTGCTATTTTATAAAACGCCAATCATTGTAGCTTCTCATTACAAACAACATTTAGCTAAATGTATATTAAACAAACAAAATAAAAGTTTTTTGTTATGTTACCTCATCTACAGTATATGCTGTCCTAAAAATGTGATTTACTTTTTTAAAAAAGCTCAAAAAATAAAATAAAGATAACCAGACTGTTCTTGAGTAAAAGGCATGATACAAAGTACATCATTAAGTTTCTAAAACACAAATATGCACAAGGGGCACTATCATGGAGGCAAGCAGTGATTATGTTTATGACTAAAACGAGCTGCCACATCAAAGGAGCAAAGTGATGGAAACCACAAGAGGCCTCCTGCTTTTTATTGCTGGTAGCACTTTATACCGAGGCCTCTTATGTACACTTTTACATCTCTGCTTTGAATTACCCACCATTTCCCCTTGCCCCAATAAGTTTTATTAGGACCAGCTTCCTACTGTTAGCTGAAGCTGATCCGGAGATATAAATAACAACAGATATCAACACAGACAAACAATATTGGAGCTGTTCAAGACTTCAAATCTCACCTCGTGTTGAAAGCTTGCTGTAAATCTGAGAGTTCACCTCTTTGTCTCGAAGGTAACATCTTATTTCTTCAATCGCCTCTCTCATGATTGTGATAATCAAAACAAGACCCTAAAGAGTTAAATGTCACAGTTACAAAGTATTTATCAGCAAAGTGGAGGGCAACAAACTAAACATGGAAGCTCTAGCGATGCTGCTTGTAAGTTACACATTTCCAAAGCTGAATTTACATTAAAAGGGACAGGAAACTGAAAAGGATGTCTGAAGAGAAGAAGTGGACTGACAGTAAAGATTAAAAGTGGAACATACCAAAGGGACCCAGTATGTGTACAGGGCACCCAAACGCAACTCCTCAACAAACTGCGAGCAGGCCAGCAGCAAAAAGTACAAGTTGAAGAAGTACTTGAACTGATTGAACAGCACCTTAAAACAAAACAAAGAAATGTGTGAAACATTTTCCACCTGATAAACTATTACATCTAACATGCACAACTGGTTACTTTGGTCAAAGAGTATCAGTGGACAGACACACTCACATCAGTGGTCTGTGTGGCTTGTTAAAACATTTTTGGTGTGTTAGAGGAAGTGACTCCAGGATAATTGTCATAATGTGTGTGCTTCATAGAAATATCACTAACTTTGGTTTAAACAGGTTTAAACAATTTCCTTTACTATTTTTTTATCATCATAATAACTATGTATTTTATATTGACGCAATTGATTACTGCATCAACTAAATATATTCTAAAATCATCCTCAGACAGACAGAAGGCTTTACTATGTTTTCTCATCAAGAATGAACAATCAGCAATCAGAACATGAAAAAATGCCTAATTGTTTCAGTCTGTTAGAGAATTTTGAACTTTATAATTCTGCTTTGTTTTTTCAATAAATAAATGAAAAGAAATCTACTAAAATATAAACAGTAAGAAAAAGTGAGTAGTTGAATCCCTCAGGTAATAAAAAATTAATTACCTGAGGATAATTGATTAAATGTATTAATTATTTATTAATAAAAATTTAAATCTGAAGACAGAAATATTGAATTCAAAACAAATACAGTAGTCCCTTGTTTATCACGGGGATCCGTACCCTGAAGCCCCGCGATAAGTGAAAAATCGTGAAGTAGGAATAGTAGTACAAGTAGTAAGTAGTAGTTCATTTTAGTATATATATATATATATATATATATA